CATGCTTACCAAGCTCTCTGCCAATTGAGAACAATCAGGTCAGAAGTTTAAAAGCACTAATCTTATGCCACACTAATTTGTACTTTGATACTGTTCTACAATCTCCAAAAGCATTTAAGTGCAATTAAATAGTCTTTTAGCAGAAAATAAACTAACCATTAGCATACTTTAAAAGAGATGGAAGGACACAGGGCCTCCCCCTTTTTATGAAACAGGAAGAACAGGTCATCAAGTGACTTGGATAATCTTAACTTCTCTTAAAGCACCCAACGTTCAACCTGCTTGCAGCTCTGTCTGTTTATTTTCAGGTTCTGTTCTGAGCTCTAGGCAAACAGGGGTTTTTATAATAAAAACTATGGAACGTGGTTATCAGTAATTATTAAAAAAGCAAACAGTTTATTTCCTCTAAGTGTGAGCTTTCATGGGGAGATCACTCTTACTCCACAAGGCCAAGAGAGACCAGCAGAAACAGCCATGTTATTTTAAAGGGTTAAGCTGGCTGTGCACTGTCCCATCTTATGCAAATTACTTTCTGGGTAAGAGACAGACACAGCTTCAGGCAGGTCAAAACTGAGCACCTCCAAACGAAGGAGGTTGTGTTAACTTAGGGGTAATTGTCTCATATGTGGTTTAAAACAACTAGCTTGTGCCTAGGCTGAATTCCCTCCCTTGCCCCATCTTTCTAAACCATCCAAATATTTTGAGTCTCTGCTGTGAGGGGATACCATATTCCGATGCTGTCATGAGTAAGGGAATTCACCCTGAACACAGAACCAAAAAAAAAGGAATAAGCACAATAAATGACCTTCTTCTGCTTCAGCTGGACTACAAGATGGTTGCGAAGAGCTTTAGGATCCTGGGGTCCTTCCACTTGATGAGATGCTGCAGCTCCTGGCAAAGATGTCCCTTGCATACTCTTTCCTGATTTTCCTGAAGGAATCTCTCTTGAATGCAAAGCCTCAACTGATTTCTCAGGTTTACTTTTACCTGATGAGCAATGAGCAAATCCTACTTCATCACCGTCAGAGACTTCGTCAGCAGGCTGTCCCAGGCCTGGCCTGATTTGTGTCTCGGCTGGCGCTGCCTCTGCTCCTCCCTTCTGGGAAGCATGTTGCAATGCTGACTGTGGTACTGCTGGGGAAATCGCATCTTCTTTAGACGTTGGTTTCATCTCTCCATGCTTCCCACCAATGTATTCGTTCTCTCCAATTTCTTTATCCCCACAGCTTTTCAAGCTTTTCTCTTTGAGCTGCTCCTCCTCTTGAAGCTTGGCACTTGTACTTTGCTTTCCAAGACTTAGTGGAAAGAGCTTTGATCTCCCGTCTGGCTCTTTCTCCACACACTCAGAAGACTTCTTGGATTCCCCGACATTGCCACGATATTTCTCTTGTTCCCAAAGGGTGTTTTTCCCTTTCCAAGTCTCTGAAAGACCAAGTTTAGATTCAGACGCTGTGCTTTCCTTAAGTTCTGGATCACTCCTATTTCCTGTGGACTGCTTCTCTTCAGTTTTCAGCCCTTCTAGATGTTCCTCTTCTACAGAGGAATCAGAGGTTGATTTCTTTTCTTTATGTGACACCAGCAACTTCTCTTTCACTGCTTTTTCTCCTTTTGCTTTACCTTCCTCTCCACTTCCTTGCTTAATTTGTTTCCAGAATGATGGTTCACAATTCTTGTTTATCACTTTGAATGGATTTCTTTGGCCGCTGGGATTGAAGAGAGGTGCTGTGCTGCGTTGGGATTCCAAGGCTTTTGACACTGTGGTAGCTTTTGGATCCTGCAATATATACAAGTGAGTAAATGCTAATGTAAGTGAGCAAATTATTGAAGTCTGCTAACTATACACACAACCTGATCATCTCAAGCAAGACTTCATTCTCTAAGAACATCATCTTTTCTACATTTTAACAGGATCGGGATAAACACTTCACAAGGAAAACAAAACAGAACTGGTGGTTTTCTGCTTTCTTCGCAATTCCCATGGTTTTTGGGGATCAAGCCCCAACAGCATCATCCTCAAGAAAAGAGGACAGCCAGAGATCAAACCCAAGTTTCTTTTAAGACTGGAGAACAGTGATTACTTCACACAACTTAGGAGTAAGAAAAAAGTCTCACATGGACGACAGCAGGCTGATGAGCTTTTCAACTAGAAGATACAAACTCTCCCACTATGTAGTCTCAGAGGTGACTAAAGTATACAGAATGAAACATCGAGCTGGAATAAGCTGATGCTAAATGAAACATTCTTACCTGCCACGGGATGCTTCCACACCATTTCTTCCCATTTGACTTACTTTTAAGGCATCGGTAAAACAGCCTACCAAAGAATAAAACAAGATTTGAACTGCAGGAGACCGTAAGAGAATTCTAAGCATTCTTTAAAAAGTACTTTACAACAAGAACATCACAGGCAAGTTCTCTTGATCTGCACTTTACATCCAGAACCCTAGCATAGCAAAAGACCGTGAGCGTTGGCAATGAAGCTTTTTACAAAAATCTTTATCTCTGGATAAAGATTCCTAGACATTTGGGTTATTTGCTTTTTAGTTTTAGCAATAAAACAAAAAGTAACTGCTCAGGCAAAAATATTGTCTAAGTTCAGCGCTTCAGAGGCGTCCTATGATTTCAAGGTGCAAGGAAACAGCTATTTTAGTTACGCCATGCAGGCCACCTCATCTTTAAAGCACCTCAGGAACAGAAAAACTTTGGATGTGATTTTTTTTTTAAACTGGCAGCCAACCAGGACTGCTGCAAGAATTTTATCAGAATTAAAACTGGTGAATTTGATACGACGGTCATGAGTCCTGGATGAACCCAACCACAGAGTCACATTCAATTCTGTTAAAAACAAACATTGTCTGATCACTTAGGTTTATACCACTGAACATGACTGCTAATAAAAACAGCAAACATTCTGAAACATACTAAGTGAAGGCCTCGAGGCTGGATAAGCGTTTTAAAATTCTAGAAGGAAACTGCAAGTCAGCCACCGTCACACAATTCCAAATGTTCAAAATCTGTGCAACAAACCTTTGTTTGTGCTGTGAGGAACTTACTGGTATTCGTCTCGGTCCTAAAAAATGCTGAACCAGGACCTGCAGTTCCACCATGCATCCCTTATGGATCAAGCAGTGAGAAGCAGGGATACTGAAAAGAGGAAGAATAAAGACAAAACAAGCTGCTCAGGGGACAGCAAAACCAAATACTTAGAATCATAGAATGTTTTGGGTTGTGAAAGGAAATTTAGAGGTCATCCAGTCCAACCCCCCCGCAGTGAGCGGGGACAACTAGATCAGGTTGCTCAGAGCCCCATCCAACCTGGCCTTGAATGTTTCCAGGGATGGGGCCTCCACTACCTCTCTGGGCAACCTGTTCCAGTGTTTCACCACCCTCATTGTAAAGAATTTCTTCCTTATATCCAATCTAAACCTACCCTGGTTTAGTTTAAAACCATTACCCCTTGTCCTGTCACAGCTGGCCCTACTAAAAAGAACCTGTTTGCATTTGAGAATACTCAGGGATGAGCTACAGATAGAAAAGACTATGGTCTTGGATGTAGGATGGCCCACCAAAATTGGAGAAAAGATCTGGAAAATTCTCTGAAATAACAGAGATAAGAGAGAGAGAAAGCAAAGAAAATCATGGAAGGTAGAATATCACGGCACCGCAGCAGGACATCAGTCAGTGACATCTGAGGCTGTTAAACTGACTGGCAGGCATGTGCAGGCTGACCTTTGAACAGAAGTCATGAGCAACTTGGATGGCATTTCAGTGGGAGCAAAAGGGGGAAGGTACATTTGGGAGCACCTAAGATGAAAGAGGAGAAGATGAACTCAGATAAAATTTTCAGGAAACTTTGGAGACAAAAGGAATACAGCAGTAGTCGGCCTGCTTAGCTGTTGAATGAACACATGTCCGTGTAGATCCATTTCTTGGTATGTAGGTTGACTCAGATTTTGACTTGCATTTTTATTTGAATAAAGCCAAACTCTGCAGAAAATACTTTTTTACAGATGTTCTACTCAAGATAAAACCTGTGAAAACTTTCTAGAAAGTCAAAGTTAGAGCAAACTTTGGTATATGCTTAGGAGCGTTCGTGAGGGAGAGCAAGCCTTTTGTTGAGCCTACCTTGAATTCCGAGAAAATGAGGCAGCAGGAAAACAGTTTTAAATTTCCTTTCTAAAGCTATGCACAAAATCTTCTTCATGCTCCGTGGGTGCTGCCGCTGCCAGGCTCATCCCCTAAGTTCAATATACTTTTAACAGTAAAATATTTAAAAATAAATCTGAGTTCAAATGTCAGTAGTCTAAACAAGCACCATGGACCACGAGAAGCTGGAAATAAGGTTTTTTTGAGGGGTTGGGTTCCCCACCGCCCCCCCTTCTTTTGTATTTAAGACAGGGAATACAGTTTTACAAAATGTGTGTATTTTGTTAATGACAATTCAAGTGGGATAACGACTCTGGTAATAACAGAATTACAGAAAGGTTATAATCCGTTTAGCAGAAACATGAACAACATTTACGCTAAATAACAGATTAGTGAAATTAACACTGACCACCAAATTCAGTCCCCGTGTAAACTGATGCAACTCCAAGAACCTCCCCGAAGGCTGAATTTGGCTCAGTACCTGTGTGAAAAACGTGCTTTTTAACACAATACTAACATTTTTGTGCTCTCACATGCACCTTGGAATTTTTCCTCCTAAACACAACGCCGTTTTTGGCCAGCACCCACCACAATGCATTCATACTCACATCTGCCCTTTCCACATTCAGCAACAACTTCGCTCAGCTTGTTCTGAAGCAGGAATACGGAATAAAAGGGATGCGGATAAAATACTTCAAGCCACCTGAGGCAAGTGCATACCTTAAGGAGAGGTGAATACTATGAGCGACTGTAACATTAATGACAGCAATAATGACCTCAGTGCGGGGCATTTTCTGGCAAATACTGGGACTTTTAGTTTATTTTTTAGTAAGTGTGCACAGGTGCCAATTTATCTAACACACTAGAAGCAAAAAATACAGGGGTGAGGACCTCACTAGTAGCTTCATTCCTGTATTATGGCAAGGAGCCATTTTACCTGTGTTTACGTGTTCTTGCTTTAACAGCCTGTTCTTAATCAGCAAACCATGTACTGGATTTTAAGCACACAGTTAAATCCTACATGAGAATGTAAAATGGGATTCAGGCTAGTTCCTCAAGTCAAGCTGCTTTGTCCAGAGATGGACATAAGCTTGTGCTGAAATATATTTCTGAGTTGGGAACACAAATAGGATGTCTAAATACAGTACTGGACTGAGGCTCTGCCTCAAAATCAGTTTGCTTTTATGCCTCCGAGTAAGTCTCACACACAGCCATAATTTAACAAGCGCACAGCCAGTTTTTGCCCAGATTGAAGCATCCTCCCCCCTATTTCCAAACAATCTGCAGCAAAAACTCACACAAACGACTTCTGGGGAAAGGTGGAGGCACAGGGGGAAGCAGACACAGAGTAAACAAATGCAAATCCTTGGTCATTAAGTCAACTTGCTACTGACACCCACCCCCAAGAAATTATCCTACTCACTTGTCTCCCTCTCTTTGAAATAAGCAGTAAGGCAGGGCTGTAACCCCCACAAAGGGAGGAAGGGGCCAGCCCAGGAAGGCACAGAAAGGTTCTCCTATGATCCACTCCATCCCTCTTTTTTTAACAAACCTTTCCACCTTTGCAGCTTCTTTCATTACCAGCAGCTTGGCTGTTGCCAAATTCCCCTGCTTTGGCAAGCAGGGCTGATCGACCCTCTCACAAAGGCCTAATAAGGTAACGTCTGGACAGCGCTTAAGAACATGAGAAGTGCAATGTAAGTGCCAAATGTTCTTATTTTAGAGATTAATGAGTTAATACTCCAAGAAATGTATGCACTGAGGTAACTATTGCTTAAATACATTCCCTCGTGATTAAAAAAAAAACCCACCAAAACAAAACTCCCAACAACCTCAGAACCTTTCACTCTAGAAAAGATGAATCCTGAATATAAAGTGGTAATACCTTATAGTCTGTCTAGATTACCACAGCTGTAGAGCGTGCCCTTGCAGTAAAAGGAAAACCAGGGAAGTAAACTGGAGTTCTCAGAGAAACTAAGAACTCTGCATTGATGATTTCCTCAAAGACCATCTCTGATATTTCCAGCACAGCTTCCACCCCTTACACCTAGAGATGCTGGTGTGTCATAACACAGAAGCAATGTGCAATCCAGCTTCAGATCTAGCATTCTGGTGGCTGAGCAGCCAGAAATATCTGCTAGCAAGGGTAAGTAGGACCATAATCTGCATGAGCTCTCTGAAAAGTTCAGGTTCTGTCCCTTAATGAAGTCCATGCTCCATCATCTGGGAGTCTGTGACAGTAAGGCTGTATGTAGTATGCAACGCACAAGCTCCCACCAGAGATTCCAGCTATCAAGTATAAGCTGGTTATTCTGGTGGTCAGAAAAGGATCAATGCAATAATGAACTGAACACTGCAAATGTTTTTCCTTTTTCATTCCTGTATCAGCTTTGGCCAATGATGAACCCAAGATTTGACAGACTAATGATCTGGTTGATGAAACCAAACCCTGCACTGCTATGCAGTGCAATAGATTTAAGACATGGCACAAAAGAGTCAATAGCACCCTAACCAGTAAACAAATACTGCTGTAAAATGCTGATGCAAGTACCAGAATTCAGCTGGTTTTCAAGTGTTGAAAAAAACACTGAGAACATCTCAGCAAGGTATCCTGGTTCTGTGAAAACAGTAACAGCTGTAGTAGGTCCCGCTTAGTGGTTTCGTTCTGTTTTCTTACTCCAGTGCTCCTGTCAAATACTCCCTTCATCGATGCTCTGCAACTGAAGTCTTTGGCTAGCATGGGGCCTGACACCACGCCGTGTGTTTATACTGCTTCCAGGAAGAGTCCGCACAGGGAACAGAACTCCTGGTAAAGCATCTTCCCCAAACAAACTGATTTTCACATCAGCTTCAATGGCTCTTGCTAAACTGGATGCATAACTGTCCAGAGATTTATGGACTTCAGCTTTTACATGAAGAACAGAATTCTTCGCAGCTTCTGAAAAAAAGAAAAAAAAAAAAGGGCAACATATCAGAAAATTAACAGTTGATCAGTATGGCTGCACAAATGCTTGATCCTTTTGTAAAGGTATGATCATGCGCTCTGCAAAATAACCTTACAGAATGCATTTACCAATGACACCCAGGGTTCCTAAACCATTCTATGAACACAAAGCTTCAGAATGACCTCAGTAAGTCAAGCAGAGAAAAACTGCCTCAAGTAAAAAAAAAAAAAAAAAAAAAAAAAAATGAAGCAAAGTGCTTATACACATATGTTTAACTTTGAATTAAATTGCATGTGGAATGATTTTCTGAATCTCAACCTATGCATACAGGATTTTATTGGTCTGAATTTGTACCCAACTGAAGTCAACAGCCTGGTTTCTGCTTACTACCTAGGAGTCCAGAATTAGGGACAATGGGAATTGTCTGGCATCAGGCAAGAATTCATGCAGAAGACAGGAATAGAACCCTCAATTTGTACTTCCTCTGCTGTAAGCATGACTTACAGCCTTACAGGGATTCTCAGTGCATTTTGACTAAGATCTTGCACTTCACTGACATGAATGGTGGAATTTAAGAGCTATTTTGTAACATGTTTTAAGCCCGGCAAACACAGTCTTTGTGTTTACGGATTAACAGTCCCCAAATTCCAAGGGCTTCTTCCAAGCAGTGATTAAAATCAGCAGTCTGCTGTCCTCATGCTTAAATTGGTTCCAGCCACACTGTGGGACCCACTGCCAGCGGGGAAGTTGTAGAGCTCTCCATGCCAGGAGAGGTTGAAGACTGCCGTTGCAGACAGTAGCATACTTCTTCCTAACGTTTTATTACCTTGGATACACCTGCTCTTCAGTGTTGATGTAGTTGCTTTTGTAGCATCTCTACCCACAGACACATTGGGCAACACACGTGTTCATCCTAAATGTAATCCTTCAATGAAGCTGCTGAAATAATTTAGAGTCCCAGAGATCCTGAAAACCCCAAGACATACCAGGAAAAACAGCTAAACCTGTGGGGAACTTTTGCACTGAGACATCCCTCTTTCACTGAGCTGCATAAAAAAAAAAAAAATGCCTGTCCCTACATAATCACTTAGGAAGATAACAAGAAACGTATGGCAATGTATTTGTGCAAGGAAGGAATCAGCTCATGCTGGGAACAGGGCAAGAGTGAATTTTGCCAAGATGTTTGAAAAGGAAGTTTCACAGAAAGAGTCTTCTCATTACTTCAGAATCATAAAAATCAGTCAGGTTTTATTATTACTTCATTCTTAAAGGCATCCTGCTCATTTCCACAATCATTTATTGTCTACTAAATTCAGTTGTTATTATCAAGTCTTCCAGTCCATATTATTAACTATCAGCTTAAATTAAACTAACTTTGCCAAAACGTATTTTACAGATGATCGCAGCAACACTTTGCTAGCACAGAATTAACAAGTGAGTTGACTGAAAAAGTGCACGTGGTTCATCTATTTTCACCCATATCTGCTGAGAAACTTACTCAGTAAAGTAAATAAAGTAAAAGTTAAATAAAAAAAAAGTGAAACAGAATGAAATTATATTCAAATCATTAAAGTCTGTAAATGAAAGAATTTCCAGTCTGTGAATGACAAAGTTGGCAGCAAAGGAGGCAGCAAGTGAGAAACATTGGGGCAATGGAATCAAAGTACGAGGGCAGGAAAGGGCATTCCTTGAGAAACAGAAAACAGACTGCAACAGCCACCAGATGAGTGGAGCTGCAGGGGATACCGCTGCGCAACATAAATGATGTGTATGCAGGGAATCCCAGCTTCTGACTCTTGTCCTCACCTGTTGCTACTTGAGAACTGGAAGAAAGATCCGATCTTACATTCTGTTATACCTGCACAAATGGTTAGGTATGTCAAGGTGAACAGTGGTCAGGTATGTTTTAAGGCAATTCTGGAGGTCCTGGGAGGCTTCCTGAGCAGGCAATATAGTTAGTTTTGAGCATTTCTGTACTTACCCCTAAACCCACCTTTAATTTGCTCTACTTCATCTTCAAACGTCACTGAACTCCTCCTTCGAGGAGGACAGACACACTGTGGGGCATGAGGGCCATCTGAGCTATAATCTTCAAGAAGCATTACATCTGTTCCTGAAAAAAAAAAAAAGCAAGAGTTCTCAAGCAAAACAGACTAATGCTGGGATACAGTATTTAAGTGGTGGTAAAAAGATTTCATTCTATAGCAGTTCCTTCAAAAGATGTCTAAACCTAGCTTTTGTGAGAAAATTTCAGCTTGAATTAACACTGCACAGAAAAAAGAAAGAGGTTAGAGTTTTCATTGAAAGGATTTGGAAATCTTTTCCCATTAGCCATCTAAAACCTCAGGCAGGTCCGAAACACTCACCTGCAGAGCTTATAATGTCAATAGGACAACAGACAAAAGTGAAACCTTACCTTCAGTAAATAAAGGGTGAAGTTGAGGGCAACTTCCCCCGTCTCCTGATGTAGACAAGAAGCTAACAACAGCTACCTGAGAGGCAGACAACCATAGCTGCCAAATGTCATGCTTGTAATCAAACCCACATGGAAATCTGAACTGGAGAATTTTTCTATTCAATTTCATTTCTCTCTAATAACCTGTATTTTGACTTTCTTGAAATGTATTTTAATGGGGAAAAGTCCCTTGCTGGTTAGGAATGATTTTGGTCTGATGAGTAATTTTTTCAGTTTAGCAGCAATTTTTTTATTTCACCTCCCTGCATTTGTTTTGCACCTTTCCAATATAAAACAGTTTACAAGCACAAGGAAATTCATCTTGGCATCTCTGCAATGCTTTCACACAAAGGGCAGGACTGCAGCCTAGGCCTTCCTTGCAATGCTGGTCTCTGCTGTGTAAGAGAGAAGTGGAGCAAACGTTTTGAAGAGATGCTAGGATAGTGCTGAGCAAGCAGTCCTCAGGGAAGGCGCTGTTGGAAGACACAGCCTGCACACACCTGATGTATGACACTTTGATTATCAGCCCTTTTTACTTCTGTGATGTGACAACAGGCCAAAGACAAAGAGCCTTTGCAGGTTTTTTAATTCCTCCAGATTGTGGCTTCACATCCCTCTTCACTTGACTGCTTTTGATCCCCGAATTTATTCTTTTTGCGGTAAGGAGGTGTTCCAGCACTCATTTTACAGAAAGTGAAAGACATCACTGGGGGTGTACCTCTAGACAACACACTGCTCCATAGGTCTAGTCTTCGCTGACAATTCATTGTGATGTAGCAAAGTGATAAACTTTGTAAGGCTAAACTTGTGTGTTACATCATGCATCTCCCTACAGCACACAAGAAAGAGAACGAGCTGCTGCCCTAATACACAGTCCCAAATAAGCTAACGACTTTCTGTGCTGTTCTGTGGATCATCTGGGTTTGAAAGCAGTAGACTCTTACTGATCTCCAAGGGTACTGGATCCTCCTCAGAAACGTAGTGTGCAACGGAAGGGCGGCACTAGGAAGAAAGAAATAATGCTTTCTTCCACGGAGCAGAATTTTAACATGTGTTTTCAAATACACTAGTTCAATGCATTTTTTTCAGATGAGGCTAGTGAAGAGACTAGCCTCTTATTCTCACAGGGTGGCTCTTTGTCCTTGGAATAATTGACCTTAAGGCAGTATTTCTAGCAACTGGGACTCAGATCTCACTTCATATTTTGTGTACAGCTGGCACCACTTGGATCTTTTTCCTCACCTACTACTTCATCTGTTTTTCACAATGTGAAAAGCCCAGCTTCTGTTTGCCAGGGCAGATAAAGGTACAACTGCATCGCAGGCCATAGGATCATGTACTGCACAGGCAGCATTAAGAGGGGTTCAAGACTTCTTTCTCCTCTTTAGTCCCTCACAGTAAAGGCATCCATGTGAAATAGTATTTCATGGTGGATCACTGTATATCCATTGCCAGTCTATGGACTGTATCCCCTCCATAACAAACAGCGGCAGTTCTAACAGCATTTGGTATGGGTTCATTCATTTCAACTGCTCAGTACCATTCCTCAAAAAATGATAACACAACATCCTCCTAACTGAGGCAGGCTTCCCAGGATGCTATTCTTCTTTATCACATACAGCTGCAGAATACCCACAACAGGCATAAAACTACCAGCGTAAAACAACTACCAAAATAAATCCTAGCTCTATAGACTTCCTTTACAGAAGTAAGGAACAAACCTCTAACACCAAGCAAACATTAGAATATCACCCTCTGGTGTCTCTAGAGCAGAAATAATCTTTAAAATAACTACTGCAGTTAAGGAGTGGTACCTGAATTAACTGCCAGAAAAATCTAGCTACAGTTCTGGGTAGAAAATTACTGGCAGAACTCTTTTTCCCTTTTCCAAACCACCTTCAACTGAGAGATCTTAAGCAGTGACACAATCATATCATAAACACTTAGGATGATTTCAGGTTTACACTGCAGGATGAACACAACAAGGTCTCTTACAAACTAGGAAACAAAGACGCACGTTCTCCACAGCACTTTGTTGCTCTGTTCTTATGGATACAGGGAAAGACCCTTCTTCAATAGAAACTAAAGGAGAAGGACACAAAAGCAGTGAGTCCCATTCCCAGGACCCATTATCAAGGGAGGGTCATCATTCCTTAAATGGTATTTTGCAAGTAAATATATTGAGAGCAAGAAAGGAAAAAAGCAACTGCAGCAGTTTTGTTTCAATAGCTGGAACAGATGTTTCATGTCATCCATCCACCAAGAGACACTGTGTGAGTAAATACAGACTATGCCAGTACAATGGTTTTGGCTGGGGTAGAGTTAATTTTCTTCACAGTAGCTAGTATGGGGCTATGTTTTGGATTTGTGCTGGAAACAGTGTTGGTAACACAGGGATGTTTTCGTTACTGCTGAGCAGGGCTTACAGAGTCAAGGCCTCCTCTGTTCTCACACCACCCCACCAGTGAGCAGGTGGGGGATGCACAAGAAGTTGGGAGGGGACACAGACAGTACAGCTGACCCCAACTGACCCCAGGGATATTCAATAGCATATGACATGCTCAGCATATAAAGCTGGGGGAAGAAGGAAGGCGGGGGGGCATTCAGAGTGATGGCATTTGCCTTCCCAAGTCACCGTCCCACGTGATGGAGCCCTGCTTTCCTGGAGATGGCTGAACACCTGCCTGCCCACAGGAAGCAGGGAGTGAATTCCTTGTTTTGCTTTGCTTGCGTGCGCAGCTTTTGTTTTACCTGTTAAACTGTCTTTATCTCAAACCACGAGTTTTCTCACTTTTATCCTTCCGATTCTCTGCCCCATCCCACTGTGGGGGGAGTGAGAGAGCAGCTATGTGGTGCGTGGTTGCCGGCTGGGGTTAAACCACAACACCCAGAGAGTTCTGCCAAGCTGCAAGTGCAACCTTCTGCCCAAGAAAAGAGATGAAGAGACTTCTAGTTACCCGAATCCTGTGAGCAGCTGAAACCTGTGTCTCCTGTGCTGCTGCTGTTTCCTAATGGCCGCCCCCCTGCCATGAGGGCAGTGAGATGAGGAGATAGTCCCAAATCTGCAAGAGAGTTTTGTTCTTGTTACACAATGAATGTTTAAGGGGTCTGCCACAGTAAATACCTCTTCCAGTAACACCCACTCTACTGCCTTATTTATTATTCTATGTATAAAACTTACCTTGCTGATCCAAAGTGCATAGCACCTGGACTTCCCATCTTAGAAACCCAGTCAGCAGCTCTCAGGTATCCTTGGAGTCTTTCCATAAGGCAAGTCTCCTTTCCACCTGCACCATCTCCCTCCAATTATTTTTGCAATTACATGTGTTTTATCAGCCAGACAGGCTGAACATGGAGCATACACACTCAGAGAGATGGGGATATTTGCCAGACACCTTCTAGATAGAGAATAAACTGGTAACCACTAGCAGCTGTGACAGGCCATTAGTGTGGCAGGACACTCATGAGCAAGGCTGGGGCACTGAGATGCCTGCCTTCTTTCAAATCCCCAAAACAAGAAGGGAGGAGATTCTAGGATTTTTACAGAGGTGCTGTCTTTAGATCCCACTTCAAGATTTTCTTGTGGGTTTGGTTGGGTTCCCCCCCCCCGCCCCCCATCAGCCTCCAGCTAATACACCTGATAAACGTGAAGCTATCAGCTTCTTAAGGCTTGGAAAGAGAAATTTCTTTCCTGCCTTTTCCTTCTCACCTCGGTTCCAAATTCATCCACAGCATCTCCTAGATACAGATATACCAAAGCTCCCACAGCTTGTGACGTGGCTGCAGCTGCAGAACTCTTTCATTTAGATGGGAGTCTCTCCCAGTAATCCCAGGTTGCAGAGAAGATTATGGATGCCCCTTCCTTCTGCATTTTAGAACTTCCCAATGAAATAACTTCGGTTCCTACCTCTGCATGAAATGTCCCAAGAGATGCCATGAAGATGTCCTATTTTTGGAAGCTTCTGAATAGGACCAGGGAAATTATCAAAAAAATAAAAATTTTGTTGCATTGCTACTTTAAAAAAAAAACAAACTCTGAGCAACTGAAGCTCTCAACCTCCAATTTGGGAAAACGTCAAATAGTTTTACTATTTTACATAGTTTTACTTTGTTTATCATCTTTTCTTCACAACCATTAAGCCTAAAAACTGAATTTACAGAAATAGTAATACCAGCGTAACTTCAGTGAATCTCAAAGAGCTGTAGCATAAAGCCAGGAATCAAAGAACAAGTGCTGCAAAATGTACTACTGGTAGTGCTCAAATCTGGGTAACACAAAACTGCAAGCATGTAAGGAAACACTTGAGAGAGAAGAAAATAAATTATTTTTATTAACCTCACCAGTATGTCTTCTCCGGCAGAGAAAACTTTACTGGCGTAGGAGAAAGATGTTAACTTCCACAAAAAAAAAATAAAAATTCTCCTTTCAAGTGTCTATGATAACCTGAACAAAAGACTGCAGAAACCTCCAGAAACATCCCACTCTGTTTACAGAGCCCTGAAACAGGGCCAAGCACACGCAGACATTAAGCCTGGCTCTTACTGGTATTAAGGAAGAATGTCTTTTGCAACCACGCATCTTACCTGTGATCCTATTGGAAATGCTGAATAACCTCGATGTCCTATGCCGCTGCACAAAGGACTCGCGGTAATACCGATCCCCAAAGCACATTCCTAGTAGTTCCTTGCGCACTGTCTTGTTCCACAGTCCATAAATTAGTGGATGGCAAATGGCACTGGAAAAGGACAACCATGTAGCCAATGTCTCTAAGGCAGGGGAAATACTATTTTTTCCCCAAAGCGCCTCTGATGTAATTACTACCATGTAAGGCCCCCACGTAATCACAAAAGCACCGATGACAACCAAGATGGTTATGAAAGCTTTGCACTGGTTGGCTGAGTAGACAACCCCTTGGAAAGCATTCCTTCGGCTGCCAGAAGAGGACGTTGAGGTGCTGGAGTTCTTCCTCCCATTCCTCTGGGAGTCCTCCTCCACAATGATGACACTACCGCAGTGGATTTTGCGGGCCTTAATCCTTGCCACACGGAATATGAATCCATAGCAGATCATCATGACCACAAAAGGCAACAACGCACACCAGATCTGCCAAAAGGCAGTGTAACCAGCCTCTTTATGCCAGGCCGCCACACACATCCACTTGAATTGGTCAAACTCCAAAGATGACCAGCCAAAAAGGGGAGGGAGGCAGCCGATAAGGGAATGTAGCCACACATACACAAGAGCTACCACTGCTCTGTTGCCTGTTATCTTCATTGGGTAAACCATTGGGTACAGGACAGCATAGTACCTGGTGGACAAGAAAATAAAGTCAACAGGAGCATGGAAGATGTACAATAAAAAAAGAACATATTTTAATGATGTTGGTGTCTAGTTCTCCAAACCTCAAAGTGGGTTCAGGGACCCTGGTTATAAAAATAATTACATGTAAAAATACATACCATTGCAGGCAAGATTGTAAAACCTGACTGAAGGTTCACACACAGCTATTAAATCTGTCCCTATGTGTGAGTGCACGCTTAGGGTATAATCTGGGATTTTAAGTCACCATTTCTTGTTTCTCAAGTAGTATGTTATTATATCATCAATAGCTTTAAAAAAAACTCGAGATACATGTCCACATTTTGCATTATTGATGACATCACCTTCTTCTGTATCAAAATTTCACAAGGGGCCGATGTAAAAATAACACTACAACGGTATGCAACGTTATCAACTGCAATGCTTCTCAACTCTATGAACAGCCAATGAATCACACTGTGGAATGACTAGGCAATTTATTATGATTTGTTAGAAAAGAGCTGCTTACCTGTCTATAGCTATGAGTCCAAGAGTAAGCATGCTGGCTGAGCTGATCAGCATGTAGAGCAGGGCTGAGAAATTGCACCAAACAACTCCGAAGATCCATTCCCGCCTGATGGAGCTGGTGACAACGAAAGGTAGCACCAGTACAGAGAGGAGGAAGTTGGAGAGGGTGAGGCTGAACACAAACTTGTTGCTCAACGTGAGAAGGTAAGACTTCCGATAGAGGGTGACAACAATCACCAGGTTGCCCAAACAGATGAAAATAGCAATGACGATTATAGCAATGGACTCCGTTACTCTGACCGCCCCGTCTTCCTGTGTGGTGAGGTTCCTCAGGCCCTTCACATTGCTGAGGGAGGAATTGCTGCTCATGGTCAGAGCGTGCAGAGCTGGAGCACCCAAGACATGCTGAGCAGCTAGAAGCAGAACAACGCTCAGAAACATTCAGGCAAGATTTCTTCAAACTCTCCCCAAAGACTGGAGACCCTTTTGCCTGCATTTAAAAGTTTACCTGTAGGATGCAGGAAACCATTTTAGCTGGGAAAGTGAAGGGGCAGGAAAATTGCCTATGGGTACACCAGAGAGGTCAATGACAGAGCCAAGCCTAGAACAGGGAACAAACTTGTCTGAAAGACAAAAAGAGGTGGAGGGGGGAAATGAGAAAGAAAGTTAGCACATTTCACTTCAAAATTTTCTAAAGATCTTACTTGTTTCTAAGCCATACTTACCAGCTGTGCATCTCACTCAGTCCCTTCATCTAGGCTGTGAAGAAGCAACAAGAATGTCATTATCAGTCTCTGTTACTCTCACTTTAAAAAAAGTAACTTTTTTTTTTTTATTCTGCCTGTTTATCCTGATCGTTACCTTGTTTTCTGCCTATGCAGCATTTGCTGGTGGTCTGTGGATGCCTGGCTAGCCATACCCTGCTGACTCTTTCTTAGCAGTTGCTAAGTAACAGTGAAAGACTCGGGGGTCACTGCACATACTCTCCTAACATCACTTCTCCATGTTCATAATCACCTTAGCTACAGCAGTGAATCTACTTCACTGCCAATACCAAAGGACTGGGGGAACTGGCTTTCTGTGCATGAGGTTCTAAAGACACTTCCTTGCATTAAGCCAAGGTCCACTCTACAGAAGTGTTTGAGAGCCTTTAACCCCTGACTTCTCAGCATTAGCACCCATCCCACTGACTCACAACCTTGTTTCGTGAAACCTTGGTATCTCTCCCAATTCCTTAGTGGCCTTTTCCCTGCAACAGGCACTCCTATCTACTTCATTCAATCCTTCACCCATCTGCAGGCCAGCACACCGAAGAAAAAACACCACCAAAATGCAAACCAGAAAACTTTATAAGGAGTCCACCAATTAATATAAAGTTGATATTAGCATTTCTTGGAAATTAGGGACTCGGGGAAAGTTATCTCAGCTAACTCGGTGGCTGTGCCCGCCCATCGCTCCCAAACAACCAGGGATACTCACAGAAATGCTTCCATCTGCACAGCTGCTGTGGCCTTAGGCAGGAACGTCAGGCTGGAGAGCAGCGTTTATTCCATATTTATCTGTGCTTTCCTAAGAGCGCAATTAAAGACATTACTGGGCCACATTTTGCAAAACGTAACTTGGCTCTTCCCTAGCGAAGCTGTCTGCCCACTGTTTGCAAAAGTGCTTCTCCTCAAGTTTATCCCCGAAGACGCCCGCACCACCTCTGCGCGCCTTTCCCGTACTTTTCGCCTGCTGCAGGTTTTGGAGAGGCGGCTACCCCCGAGGGGCCGCGGCCGCTCCCCGCA